TGGAGAGAATGCCAAACGTTGTCGGGCGGAGTGCAATTGATATGGCCAAGGGACGCGAACGATGAAGCGGATTCGGATTCGATTGTCAAAGCCATGTAAAAGTATATGTATGTTGGAAGATATGCCTGGGTATTGGTGGGTATCTGTGTGTGTCAGTTGCCTTGCGGTTGTACCACCACCCCCTCACCTTTCTCCACCCTCTGATGAGCTGTCTTCCCCTTGGCTTTATGCGATATGAATTACACAAGTTTCCTGGCACTTTTGTGCGAGCGTTTTATGGTCGTTTTCCTCTTTATTATTATACAGCTGTGTGAGTGTTCATCTTTATATATATGTATTTTCATATAGAGCTGTAAGAGTGTGCGTTATAATATAATAATTAAATGAATTGCCAAAGTGTGTCCGTAGCAGACGTGCGTCGTTCATCAGGAACGGTGAATGCAAATTAGGGATGGGAGATATTCATTTTATGGGACAGGAAATGGTTATTTGGGAATTTTAATAAGTTGGAAAAAGGTGGAAAAGGATTTGGTAATAAGAAGAAAGAAAATCTAAAGGCTTTCGATAAATGTATTTAGTCATCGGATTAAAGAATGTTGATCTCCCTCCCTAATTTGCTATCGATAACTAACTAATCGTAAGAGTCCCTTCATTGCGTGTCAATGCTACTCATTTCTATTGCCTAGAATAGCCCCCTCACGCTCTCCTCTCTAGCTCTAGTACATGAGTGTGAATATTTCGCTGAACTTTTTAGAAAGCCAGCAGGACGCGCCGACCAAGTTTCCTCTCTTCGTTGGCCTGTCGAAAAAAGGGTTTTTATTTCAACGGCCTTTATTTGTTTTTTGTTTTTGTTTTTTTTTCTTCCTTTCTGGCCTTTTTCCCTCGGCTCTGTTCTTTTACACTCGAGGTGTCAATTTCAACGCCCTTCTTTTGTTTGGCAAGCATACGGATCTACATATATAATCATGTATATGCATATGGATATTATATGGCGGGTACATGGTTATATATATGAATATTACCCTCGTTTTTAATTTCTGCCAAATTATGCAGAATGTTCGCTTGCCCTCTCGAGGGGTTAACAAATAAACTCCTGCACTGTAAGAAAATACTCAAGAGGAAAGAAATCTACAAAGGCAAAAAGCACACCCACTGGAAAAGTTAGGTGGGAGTGCACGAAGACGCCCACAAACATGTTTGGGAATAAATATTGGTTCTCTTTTTGAATTAAGAAATTTAATTCTAGGGTAAGAGGATGTAAGGAGAAAAATACACAGGAAGAAGGATGATTTATTAGTCAATTATTTAAAATTTGAATGAAAAGTTGTAGTTAAAGATTAAAACTTTATGATAGAAAGAAAATACGACAAATTCCTTATAATCACATAAAAAAGAAACTCAAAACTCAGCTAAATTCGAGTTTTCTACCTCAAATTGATTTGCATTTTTCTTATTATGCTTCCCTTATAGGCAGGCTGCTCTGTGGGGCGTTGCAATATCAGCACCTCATCCTTTGCCTCACACACATGTGTGTCGCCTCTACTCCTTTGCATGAATTATTTTCCTTTTTGGCTTCGCAGTTTTCCGTTTTATTTTTTACTTTTTGTATATTTTTTGGGTGTGTTCTGGCAAAGTGGGCTGGGACAACCGGCTGTGGATGGGTGGATTTTTGGGGGAGGCTGTTGGATGTGTTGTGGAGTAGGAAGGGGGCGTGGCCTGTTGCATTTGCATGTGCTCCATGCAACTGACAACTCAATAAAATGTCGCTATTTTAATTTCGCCTTGATGTCGTCACGCGGATGTGACATAAGGCCGCCGCTTCACCACCGCTATTGCTTCCACTTTTGCTGATTCAGTTCGCAGCTGCAGAGCACAGAGATCCCAGATGATGATGATGATGATGATGGTGATGTGTATATTGCCATGGTGCATTATAAGTTTTATGGCTTTGATACCAGGAAAATGCAACAGAGTTGAAAATGTGGGGAAGCAGTTCATTAAATGAAAACCGCAGAAATCGAGCGGGCACTAAACGAGAAGTAAACTTAAGATGTTTCAAGCTCGTAAAAAAGTTGGCCAAAAACTTTATGCAATCTATATATGTTAAGATGAAGTAAGACTTCTTTAAAATCGCTTAGTATCTAAATATGGTTAGATTTGCAAGATATAAAATTACTTAGTTAGGAAGTTAGGTTATGTTATTTAGGAAATAGCGAAGTAGTTTACCTTTCTCGTAAGTTTAAATGGAAAAAACTCGAAGGGCTTATGCCGTTTTAATAGCAATAATTATATAATAACATAAAATATATTCCAAATTATGTATCTGCAGCTGTATAATCCCCTCATAAATATATTTATCTGACACAAAATCTAGCACTAAGCCGGCATGATTGTAATTAATATTGAATACATTTTCCGTTCTCTGCGTTGATCAGGTGTATAAAATCCCCAAACACTTTGCTTCCTCACTGATTTACCGGCTTGGGTTTCGAATTAATTTTAATTACACCATCTAGTTGTTGCGAGAGAGAGAGAGAGATATCAGCTTTTATTGCTGTCTCATCAATTTGAGTCCCCAGCGGAAATGGCAAAAGAAGGTTGAGGAACTTAACTTCGAATCGCAGTTTGTTTGGTTTTTGAGGTTTTTGGGCACTTTGCGAAGTCTTTCTTGTATTTCCATTTGCCATTTCCTTTTTGACCTGCTTTGGTTGCACTTCTCCCCCTACCCCTGGATGCACTGTGTTTTACTCAATATTAATGAAGTCATTAAGACGACATCTTCCTCGAGATCGGCGCGTAATGCGAGCGAATTATTAACAACGTTCTCGGCACGAAAACAAGCTCAGAAAAAAAAAAAGAAAAGTAACCCCAGATGGCTGGCTTTAACTTCTTCAGCTGGAGTGGCGTGTCCATAGTCCCGCCAACGGCATCAATAAACAACAAAAACAAAAACAAAAAAATTAATACACAAGTACAACAAAAACAAAACCAAAAGGAACACAAGCGGCTTTCATAAATTTGCATGTCGCTGTCACAGGCAAGGGATCGCCAAAGGGGGCCAGGTTATGAGGGGGCGTGACAACAAGTCAATTCGGCTCTCTCAGGTCCCCAAAATGTAGCACACAAATCTGTTTTCGGCAGGCCAGGGAAGTGAAAAATCTTTAACAGACAAGACAGGGGCAGTGTGGAATTTCAATAACGACTATAGAGATACCCTTTCTATATATATTTTGATTTGAATTTTAAGTTTTAGTTAACAAAAGGAAAGGAAAAAGAAGTTTAAACTATAATATCCTTTTGTTTTACTTTAAATATCTTAAGTGATAAGTTCCCAACTTTCCTTATGCCCCCTAACCGAAAGGGTACTTGCCACACTAAATGTAAACACCGAAAAACGGCAAAGTGGAAGAAGTAAAAAAATTAACATTGGGGGTATAAAGAACGGCTGGGGCAGCGCAGAAAAAAAATTGTTGAACGCATTAGAAGATTGATGCTGGCGGCTGTTTGCTCAGGGTTGAGACTGTGGACTTGGCCGAAAGTGATTGCAATTTTTGCTCTCTTATTTCGCCATGTTTACTTTGTGCATGAGCAGATTTCCTTCTTTCGTTTTCCCATTTTTTATTTCGGCTGGCAAGTAAAAAAAAAAAAAAAAGGAAACGAAGAGAGAAACGAAAATCCGGCAGGAAGGAATGCAAAATGCAAACACAAGATGGTATTCAAGTTGCTGGGAGATGTTGATTTTGGTACTTCCTTTTGGCCATATTTTAGGTAGTCGTGGTGGCAAGCAACTGGGTTAATAAGATCGCCGCACCGTGCCCCAAACCACTCTATCCGTCTCTCTTTTTTGAGTTTGCCGCATTTAATAAATAGCTGCTTTTAGCCGGCCAAAGCGACTCATTTATTATGCATCAAAGATAAACCTAACTGAGATTAATGTCTCACTTCGTCAGGAGCGACATGGGCAATAGATAGATAGTTGGCCAACATGGCCACTGTTTGCCGTCAGTCACCCGAAGCTAATCATCTCACCTGACTAGAAAACCGAGAGAGGGGTATTATATATCTATAAAAAGGGTGAGAATCGAGATTAACCCGGGCATTTATGTCCACAGGTTGTAATAAAATAAAAAGTGCACGTTTTATTCATATTCACAGGCCAGATCAACCGGGATCTCAAGCTCAGGCAAATCCAATTATCTCGCTTATTGTTGTTACATGCTATGGGTACTTTAATTTTCATTTACTGGGCAGCTGCAAAAAAATAAGAATATAACAACAACAAAAAAAAAGAGAAAAGCTGGTCAACACGCAAAGTCAGAGCTGTTGAAATTGTGCCAACCTTGGATCTCGAATGGGTACGTTTTATTCACTTGGCTAATTTGAATTAATTTTGTTGTCAACACGTAGTCATATAAGGATGTGAACAGTTAGCAGGCAATCAAAAGTCTAATTGGGGGCCGAAGGAAGTTGGCCAGGCAGGTGATCTGTGGGAAAGGAACTTCCCTTGAGATGGCTTATATAAAACAGATTTTTTGGAGAATGTGCAACCAATCTGAAAGGGGTGGACAATGTTTTAAAAAGGAATTGCTTAAAAGAGGAAAAATTAATGGGAATTTAAGTGGATTTTTAATTTGTTTATAAAAAATACACGAAAAATCAGAAAGCAGCTGAAAAATTAGCATTAATACAGGACAAACCAAATGAAATTCTAACAGTGCAATATCTAGAGGTCGCAAAAAGATAATACCCATTATTTACAGATGGTAAAAACTTTCCTCACTTTGTTGGCTGGACCAACATTTTCACGGACCGCCTCAAACGGAACCGCATTAAGCTGTTCCCAATTCTAAAGATCGTTTTCTTTGAGATGAAACCAAATCTATTAACTTTTGATAGTGCGATTGCAGATCGGTGGATAACACTTACCTCCTAACCGCTGGGGGATCTATGTAGGTTGCCTTGGAACGCCAAAAAAAAAAAAAAAAAAACTCAGCAAGCTTGTTGCGAATCATGGCCCGCCGTTAAATACAGACTGGGGATTCTATAAATCAGGCATATTTCTCAACACCTCGAACACTTTCGAACCCGCTCATTAAAAACCATTAAGGAAAATATTTCGCTTGGGAAAAATTATGGCGTAAATGATACCCAGCCCCGCCTACCCCAGCAACAACCATCAGGCAACACCACCACCCACTTTTTTGTGGGCCAACAAACGACACAATAAACGACCTCCACCAAGCTTCGAGCCAGGCTCGCGATTCGGCTTAAACGCGTTCCACCGTCTTAACTCGGTTTCTGTGTCATTTTCTTGTCTGCAGCTCGGTTTTAAGCGTCAAATAAATTTAAGTCTACACCTAAACAGCCAGCAAACAAAATAAAATAAAGCACTAAGGAAAAAACTTTTTGCGTTGCCTGTTCTTTGGGGATTTTTGTTATGTTGTTTTTTTTTTTAGCTCCATAGCTCTTTGCAACGAACATTTGCAACAATTTGTTATTGGCCATTTAAGCCGTTTGTTGTTGGCCGTTCGTTGTTGCTTTTGGCCGTTGGCGCACCAGAAATCTGTTGAGTGTTAATGACATTTTTATGTTTTAACGCTTGAAAAGCTGCGGCCGCGTCCATTTTGGTGGCCTGGCTGGCCCCCTTGGTTGAAAAAAACTCCAATTGAAATTCCCGCACCTGGCTATGCTCTATTTTTGCATTTTCTTTTTGCGCTTTTCCTTTATTTTTGGATGAGGTTAGATCTGGCTAACATTAGTTGGTGGTTTGAGTTATTGACTTGGTCTCTGCTCATCCACGTTTAATGGTGGTTTGTTGTTGGCCAGGCTATTTCTGTTCCGAATGACAGGTGACTTGGTCAATGGAAAGGTGGGGAATGTTTTTATCCACAAATTGGTTAACAAATTGCAAAAATGGTCACTTAGAAATAACAAAGTGAGATTTATAGGAAATTTAATTAAAAAATTATAAAAAAAATCACTTACTTTGCGTACTTATTGCTCTTTATATAGTTTTAAATTTTATATAGTCACACTTTTGTTGTTTTAGTATCATAGATTAAATAATTCACTTCACGAAAATAATGCGTCGCGTCGCCTCTTTTTTTCCGTGTTCTCGTTTCCGCGATCCTCTTTAAAGTTTAAACCCATTCAATAAAATTACTCATTTCTCCGTTCCGGTATTGCATTTGACTTCTCATCTGGGCACACCCAAGATGTGCTTAAAAAGAGATGCCACCCTATTCCCAAATAGACATTTACAGTTCAAAATGTTAAGTGTAAATTATCAAACAGAAACAAGATATTTCTGGCAAATTTTTAAATTGATTTTTATCAAACAATTAGTAAAAACAAAAGCCAACCAAGCAAAGTTCAAGTGTTGAAAGGTAAGCGGTCAAAATAATGTTCAATTTTTCCACTCGTATTTATCAACACAAAAGCAGTCATCTCAATCGAACCTGCTTTCTCCTCTCAGCGACAAACCAAATTCAATTCCGTTCAGTTTTTGGCCTCAACTTGTGTCAACATTAATTAAATTTTCTGCGCGCATTTGCAAAACTTTTTGAGCAGCTAATTGGATTTTGGTTGCTGCATCGCCAGCAACAAAACAACCAGCGAAAAATAAAGCAAATTCGCGTGCAGCCGCCGACTAATAACCGCCAAAGTCGCGCTCTGAAAAAAAGTAAAATACAAAATACTGAAAAACCAGTCGCCTGGTGCAAGTTTCCTGCCTTGGCTCCTACTCCTGCCCTCCAATCCAAGCTCCTGGGGAAGTTTTTCAAGCGAAAAAATGTGTATAAAAAAAGGAAATACTCCTATTAAATGTATTCCTTTGTTTCAGGCTTCACTGGTGCCTGAAATTTCGCCAAATGTTTTCTCTGCCGGCCATTCGGCATTTAATGATTTACGTGGCCCAAACAATTCTACAAAAACACTGAGAAAAATGGTTTAACAATATAACTATGACATCTGAGTTTTTGTAGCTTAAAACGTTAAGATAACTTAAACTTTTGTTGTCTTCTTTTTGTAAAAGTGATTATGTTAACTTGTAAAATGCTAAACCTATATTATAAAAGTTCAATATTTATGCTTACAAAATTCTCCCAGTGCAGGCCAAGCAGGTGGTCCCAGACCGAGGACAAAACTGTTTGACTTTGGTCGCCGCGGAGTGCGTGTGGGGGTGGGAAAAAAGTCTGGTGCCGCAATTAACAAGTGCAACGACTCCGCCGCTTCCTCAACCTCATCCTCATCCTGATCCTCGTCCTGCTCCGCTTCCTTGGCAACTTCCTTCCCCGGCACTTCCGCCAAACCGAAACCCAGGGATACAATGGCCGAAAAAGAAACGCTCCAACTAATAACACTTAACTGAAGCTTGGGCCTAAGCCAAAAGCCAAGTCTTAATTATGGCAAAACAACTTTTTGTTTTAGTTCGCAGCTAAAACGCTTCCTGTGAGACAAAAAGCTGCCAGCTACTGAACTTTGCTTGCTCTCGTTTTGGGTTGAGGTTATGTACCGCACACCCTCCCACCAGCCCCTTGAGTTTTCCTGGAAAACTGCACTGTGCATGTCGCTACATATCAACAAAAGATGCAGCAGCCAACACCAGACTGCAACGGCCACCTCCACACACTTGCCGTTTTGGCTCGGTTTCGGTTGTTTTTCTTTTTTTCGGTTTCTGCATTTTCATTCCTTTTTTTTTTGCTTTTTTTGTAGACTTCAGTCAATGCACTCTCTATGACGTCGCCGTCGTCTGACTGCACAAAATGAAAAAGTTTCGCAAAAAAAATAATGAAATCCAAGGCCCAAAAGGATAAACTTGAAAAAAAAACATGAGGAGATGTATAGGCCTAAAACATATCCTTTAATAAAATAAAATGGAAAATATCATTAATTATTATTAGCATCTGTATTTTATATTTAAACAAGAAAAAATATTAAATTTATTTTTATAATTCTTTTTGATAGAAGATTATCTTTGCCAGACTTTAGTAAGGATTTCTCAAATTTTCAACTCGTTTTCTTGGTCTATAATCCCCCTTGTGTTTCATAGTTCCCAGGGTATCAAGAACAGCAATTCCACAACCAACAAAACAACACAAAAAGTTGAAAAAAACACTCGTTGCATTTTTCTTGTTTTGTTTTTTGCATTTTTTTTTTTTTTTCAGAAAAAGCGAAAAACAAGAATGATTATTAACGCCTGTTGGGTATGCCACAGGACGATGTCTGCAGCGGCTCCAACTGCAGCTACAGCTACAGCTCCATCTCCAGTTCTGGATGCTGGATGTTGAATGCTGGGCTCCCGTTCCCACTCAGACTCCTCGAAAAGGCAGGCTACTGTGTAAACAGTGTGGCTGTGTTGCTTTTTTCGGTGCATTCGCCTGCAGCCGCCAGTTGGATGCAAAATGCAACCGGGCAAAAGCAACAGCAACAACAGCCAGCCACCAACATGTCACAGACCCGCAGGCTGAAGTTCTGCAGAAGGTGGGATGCTGGAAGGGAATGGCGACAGCTTCACCGCCGATCCTCCTTCCTCACTCATTAGGCGTTCGGTGCACTTGTGTCTGCTCACCGTATCCTGCCAAAGTCGGGATTCGGAGGCCCTGCATCCTGGGCTGCAACTCCAGGCTCCCTTGCCCCACGCACCACCAAACTCCCAACTGCCGTCTCAGGCAGTTGCAAATTACGCTCTCAGACTCAATTGTCTTGAGCCTTTAGAGACTAAGGTAGTAGGAACGGGGACCCGAAACGACAACAATGCCTGCATTTAAACGCAATCTTCGCAATGGCTAGACAGACAGACTCAAACTCAGACACATTCCCTTGGGGCGATACGAAAAAAAAATGGCATAGAGGCGTAGGGCAGTTGGGGGCGTGGCCAGGTGGCAAAAGCGTCGCGTCATCGTCGCGTCTGGCACTTGAGATTTTTGTATATGTTCATTAGAATGTTCCTCATGGCGATGAGGATGGGTTGATGCTTGAACGCCCTGAAGTAGGCAACACTTTTGGCATGCACTTCTTTGAGGCAAGTGCAAATTCTGTTTTTTTTTGGGGTACAGTTGTGCGTAGAGATTTTGTGGCAAGGCTAACGCATTGGGAAATATGTTATTTTATTTCTAAGAATTTTTCCAGATTTTAATTTTCAAGATTTATTACTGCAAAGCTCAGTTTAATCTAAAAAAATATAAATTAAACATTGATTTATATGCCTTATAAATTTTTCAATTTAAAAATGACAAATCAGTTACCTTTTAATATCAAATATATATTTTAGAAGGGGTCTATAAAGTAGCATGAAATATAATCACAATAAATATTTTATGCTCCTTTAAAAATAAAAACAAAATAACCTTTTTTTTAAATGTAAATTTCCTTCATGAATGACTTTATGGAAATTGTAATAAATTTTACAAGCTGACTTAACTCCACACCAAACACAAATGCAATTCCATTTACTGCAATAAATATTAAATTAATGTTTTTTATTTGTTTTTCCTATTTCAGAACCTGTCCATGGATTTATGAGGTACGTAAAGCCCTCCACACCGCCTAGCATTTAGCATTTAAATCTGTTCATGGGGCACAAAAGCCGCTTACGAATAATGCCCCAGCCGAAATCAACCTGCATAAAATATGTACAGAAAAGCAGAAATACAGATGGAAAAAAAAAATCCAAAGCAAATAAAATTATAAACGAATCTATTATGACAAGTGCGTGGGCCGTACAAAGTATTTTTTTCCGTCCGCATTTATTTTTTTATATTTTTCGTTTTTTTTTTGTATTTCGACCAACAAAAGGCCACGAGAATACGGGGGCTGTTGGGCTGTCCAAAAAGTGATGTTGAAGTGTGTTTAAAGCTGAGGGAGAGCCATCATCGTGTCAAACGGCAGCCGGCAGACAAGAAAACCTAACGATCAAATTAATAACGTTAACAAAAGAGATACCCAATACCTGTGCCACTGCCACGCCCTCGGCCTAAGACCAAAAGGTTGTTTAGGGAAACAACAGCGACAGCTGTGATTGACAACTATGTTGAAATATCAAATTATAATTTCATAAATAGATGGGAAATAAAAGAAGCTAAGAGGCTTTAAAATCGTATAATTGCCTGATCTATTAAGGCTGGGTGTGTGTGGTTATAGCCGACGAGATCTTTTGGCCCAGATTGAAGGTCAATGACAAAACATGTTTTAATTTCATGCTGCCACGGATATATCGAGGCATTAAAAAGCGAAAGAATTTTAATTGCCACTTGGTGGCTGTTGGCCGGTGGCAGCCTTGAAATCACACCGCGACTCGTGAACTAGAAAATAAAAACACCAACTGCAATTGGCTTTGGCATTCACATGGTTCGTTATGGCCATATGAAAGTGCCACATAATTCTGTATCTCACCCAAAGGCCCCGGGGCCAAAACAATTTTCACACCGCACACCAACCTGCAATGGTAATATATATATATATACATATCTATATGTATATACCCATCCATCCGTGTGTTACCTCTTCACCATTTTGGGGGCAGCGAAAATGAAAAACCAATCAATGCCTCCAATATCCATTGCGGTTAATGCTGTTTCTGGTGTTGGTTGTTTGTTGTTTGTTGCTTTGGTTGTTTGCTGTTTGGGGCGTAGTTCTAGTTTAAGAGCTTCGCAGTCGTATGTGGGCTGCTATTTTCATTTTAACCAGAGGTTTTTTTTTTGCCAGATTTCCCCCCTAAAACTTGAAAAGAAAGTGGACAAGATTTTCGGCCAAAGCCTACGTGGTTTTTGGCCTTAAGTTTTAAGTGCTTACCGATTTTTATGACTTTCGATCTGGCGGAAGAGAAATCATTCTGTTTAATTGATTCCTCCTCAAGGATTTCTGCAGGTGATCATCAAAGCACCGGCTATAATTTCCAGTCTATTGGCTCTTAAAACTTCATGGCATAGCTTGGTCTTAAAAACTGATTTACTAACATACCGGCAGGTGCTTCGAAATGTTAGTCATACTTTTATCATTTCTCAAGAAAAGTAAAATTTTTATTTCATTTTTATGTATAGAAAAATATAAATCATTGAATTAATAATAAACTTTTTAAAAGGAAAGCTAGAAAGTGTTTTAAATGGAAATTGATTCTATGAAGTTCAGAGCAGCTTAAACCTGAAACTTGATCTGCTATCTTTTAAAATACCTTTCGAAGATCATTAATTATATTTTCTGGTTAATGAGCTTTTTTTATTACACAATAAATAAGAATTTAAATAGGAGCAAAGTATTTCCCCCGATAAAACTTAAAATATATCTAAGGGTTTCCCAGTCTCAGCTGGAAGCTTCGACTTTTACAGCTCTCTCCCTGGAGTTTGCAAAAAGGAAATTAATTTCAGATTAGTATTCCCTAGCAGCTCCGGAAGCGGTTTCATTTAATATTTTTTAACTATATTTTTTTTTTTTTCTTCTTCCCGACCATAAATCAGGAAGTGTATAAAATATAACCCATGACAGAGCCACTCCACTCCACTCTAAATGGCCGCTCCCACAGGCACATACGAGTATGATGAGGCGGCGGGTAATCTAAAGTATCTAGGGTAGCCAACCTCTTGGGCTTATAATTATTATTGTGCAAGGCAACCCGGTTTGCAAGCTGTGCAGAATTTTTAGTTTACGAGCACATAAATGTAATTGGATGCGCAAAAAATATTACAGTATCCAGAGGAGAGTGTTTATAAATTTGCACACTCTCGCACATACACACTTCCTAGGCAGCAATTTGCGGCCAGCTGCCAGTTGCAAGTTCCACGAGGCTCTTGCGCATGGGCAAAAGCCACCGAAACGTGTCATCATCGATTATATGGCTAGGAAAATGGGACTGGCTATGGTACTATGGTACTATGAGAAAGAAGAGATCCCGAGAACGGGTTAAATCGGGAGCTGCTGGGCAAACAAGTGGCTGTTACTATCGCTTTGTGTTATCGCGCTGACGTTGCCTGTAAGTTCCCCTGGGCGCGTAACTCAAAGCGACAACACTTGACACTAATTAATACATACGCACGACGACCTGGTAGCTAACTGGATGGATGGATGGATGGATGGCTGGCCAACCACCCATTTTTCCATTTTCTATTTCCACAACTGCCACCCACTCGGCTTGTCGACGCGCTCGTCGCATTTCAATCAAGACCACGTCAGTCAGTCATTCATTCGCTCAGTCAGACAGTCAGTCATTCAGTCAGTTGAGATTCAGTCTTGATAAAGTTGTTTGAAAGTGTTGCAGGTTGCACACACAGAGACACGCATAGTTGACTGCCTAACTGGCACATTGAGTGCAACAGCAGTAGCAGCAACTGCAACAGCAGAAACACTTGCAACGGCAACATTCAGGAGTAGGAAGCAGAAGCAGCCGGCTAGAAGAGTGTGCCCCATTGTACTGGGCGATGCTTATCAGCTTGTCGACGTCGCGGTCTCCTAGCTCACGCAGCCCCACCCCCATTTCTGTTACAACGCCCCTTTTCGCAAACCACCCACCTAGGCTAGGCGTTACTTGATAATGTTTACCGTTGCACTTCCTACACCGATTAAGGTTAGCGCACTTTAAGCCAGCGATTGAGGGGCGACAGAGTTGTCAAAGTTCAATTAACACTTGCATATGCCAGCGAAAGTTCAACAGGCATTCAAGAGGCCAATCATAATCAAGTTTGTAAGGAAATTATATAAAAAGGTAATACTGTATTGGTATTTATATAATTTTAATTATTTTACACTTCAAACAAGAGGAAAGAAGACAGGAACATCACTGCAGTGTGACCTTTATGATTAAAGATAAATATACTTTTGTTTATGAAATGGTATTTTTAATATGTGTTGAATAGGCGTATACTAACATACTGTTTTGGTTATAAAATGTAAAAAGAGAGGAATCACTTACTAACGCATCCCTGCCTTTAATATTTACAACTTTAAACTAACTTTTAAGCTAACCCTAAGAAAATTCCAATCATCCATAAAATAGTTCGAAAAAAAACCAAAACTTATTAAGTAATTTAAACAACATTTCCATTCACGTTCGCGCTGATTTGACTTTAATTTGAAATTTTACACACCAATAAGCCACTTTTAACTGTCAAATTTCCAAAGCAAAATATGCAAATTAAATGCGGTAATACTGGCATTTCCTCTGTCATTATGACCAACGTGCCGCTTTTTATTGACCAATTAAAAATGCTTGTGATTTTCAGACTGCTCTGCGGACTAAAAGAGTGAGGCGGGAAATGATTCATCTAAGTCGAGAGCTGTCTCTCAAGTCATCAAGGAAGGCATATCAACCTTTTTTTGGGCCTCTGGCATTTTATTTTGTATTTTTGTGTATGCTTTTTTGACAATGCCACAGACAATGATCGATGAAGTTGCGCCTTGGACTTTAACTTTATGGTTGAAATCGAAAAACGAGCCAAAGAATGAAATCGAAAAGTAAATTTTCAATTGATAACAAAGGAAAATCGACACAAACTGGCATTAATTTTCGGCTCTTTAGAGCCAAACTTTGACACCCGAGCCTGAATAAATGCTTAATTAACACTCAATGGCGCGCCTTAAGCGGATTTCGGATTGCTTGGATTGTTGTGGGTTAAGGGGGTGTTTCCAGTTAAATTGCGGCAATTAAAGGCGCAACGAATGCAACTCAAAAGTCTAAAATCGAAATTAAAGGTTTCTTTTTTTTAAATGGTGGACAAAAAGTAAACAACGCCAAATTGACATTTTGCCTCTCGACAGGCAGCGAAAAATGTATTTTGTATGGTTTTATTTTGTATTTCTTTTTTTTTTTTGGAAAACTTCACAGCCAGAAGAAGGCAAGCCCAGCAGGTCGCCAGTGGAAAATTCGCGAATAGAAAATGACAGTTGCAGTTATTCGGAACGGCAATCGTTGAAATCAACAAAGGCCCCATAGTCGAGTCACTAAAAAATGACTGACTGACGACTGACTTGACTGACTTTGTTTGGCCAATTGCCAATTGCCAAAACACTGAACGGGGCGGAAAGTGAAAAGCGGCACCTGAGGGCAAAAGGAGTTGCATTGCATCATGCCCCGCGGCCTTTTCAGTATAACATAGTCGTAGTATATATCCGTGTGGGTGCACGAGCAATCGATGATCGGATCGCGTTGAAATCTACTCGCATGTAACGTTTAAATTTGTTGGAAAGTCCAACGATACCAACTGAGCTGTGGCTTTTCATGCCTGAATTTTGTTGGTTTTTCTACAGAGAAAGAAATTATTAATGATAAGGTATGAAAAAGTTCTAGTTGGTATGGAAAAATGTCCCTTTTTGACTGCTTTAATTGTAATTTTTTTGGTTAACCAACTTTAAAGTTAAAATAAAACTTATACAATAACTAATTAAAATATTTTAATAATTATATTTACTTTCTGTGTACTTTTTTTTCGCTCTCTCAGAGAGCAAACAAGAGTTGCACGATTTTCTTGTAATTTTCCGGCAATTTCCAAGTACGAAGAAACCTCGCCAAGTGCCAGGCCATATAAATCCTCAATG